CATGGCCTTATGGGAAGGAACCACCAGTGGTTCTCACCCTCTCCGACCTCTCTTTCCTCCCCCAAGCCTGTTCTTGATTCCACAGCCAAGCCCACTGAGAGGCTTGGGGAGCCCAGACTCAGCCCACCCAGCCCCCTGCCCAGATCCACGACGTGCTCCCCTCCCCCAGCCAGGAGCCCAGGCTGGGCAGCTTCCTGCCTTCCCCATGGGGAAAGCGGGGGTGGCATGCAGGTGGGCGGGCCCCTGCCCACATCCGGTGGCCGCCAGAACCTCCCCTCAGAGCCTCTTTCCCTCCCTTTCCCTGCAAGCCCCCTTTCTTTCCTGCCCATGGCACCTATGGACCTTAGGACCCTGGCCCCACCACTGCTCTGCCCTGCCTTTCTGTCCCTACAGATCCCAAGCCTGGTGCCAAGAGGCCCCCTGGCCTGAGAGAGCGCCATGTACTGTGCCGAGGGGCCAGGCCTGGTCTCCTGCAGGCTGGGGCTGGGGGGAGGGGACTGTGGGGTGCTGAGGGTGTTGTGGGATGCTGGGCCGGACCCCGTTTCATGCATCGGCACCTCCATGGCCTCTCTGGGAAGCGCATAGAGGAGCTTGGTCTGAATGTCCACAAGGAAAGGGAGTTCTCTGGGCTGGGGTCATTGGAGGTGGGGCTCAGAGAGAATGTCATTTTCTTGTGCTGGAATTCTGGGCTCCCTGTTTTGGGCACTCACCGAAGGCACTGTCAGGGAGCCCCTCTCTCCAGGGGTCAGCCCCAATGCCCCTAGTGAGTCCCAGACTCTCAACCCATCCCCCGGAGCCTGTGCCGTGGGGGGGGAAGGGCAGGCTTGGGGTCCGGAAGCCACCTGCCCAGGGCGTGTGATGGTCTCTTCAGACCCCCCTCCCACCAATACCCAGCCTTGTCTCTGGTTTCCTGACAGTCTGTCCTCCCTAGGGAGGGGAGGGGCCACTAATCTGCGCTGCGGTGTGGGGGCGGGCTCCAAGACCGTTGGGCGCCCTGAGATCTGGCCCACGTGGCTTCGGGGTTATAAGCCCTGCCCGCCCTGAAGGGAACCCCACTTTGGAGCTGGAGCACAGGGCTTGCTGTCCTCAGCCCCGCAGCAGCAGGTAAGGGCCAGAACTTTCGCTTCAGCCCCAACTGGGGGCGCCTTGCCTCTGGGCCTCAAGGGGCCAGGAGGGGCTTGGGTTGTAGGCTGTGGGTGCAGATGCTTGGGGGTGGTCAGGGGCTTGGGTGCCAAGGCTTACAAGCAACGCTCAAGCCAAAGAGGTGCAAAGACCCTTAGATCTCCTAGCCGTCGTGGTGGAACAGCTCCTCAAAATAATCTCTAGCCAAGGGAGATAAAATGGCTCCTGGCCTTCAGGAGAAGAAAGGGCTTGGTAGGGTCTGAGGGAGGACGGCTGGAAAGTAGGGTGGGGATGGCAGAGGGTGAGCGGAGGCTAAAAAGTGGGGCCAGTGTCAGCAAGGGGCACTGGGTGTCTTCCTCTGCCCAACATGGCCACCATTTCTGTTGGGACACTCTTGGGCTCCGCCTGGGGAGCAGCAGGGCAGTGAGGGAGTCAGGGCCATGGGCTGATGGGGAGTCTGGGGCCCAAGGCCCTGGGGGGGGGGTCGGGGGCTGTGGCTGCCTCATTAGGACTCTGGAGGGCAGGCAGGGGGTGACAGAACTGGGGACTGGGGTGAGGCCTCCAGAGGACATGGTCTCTACCTGAGCGTCCCTAAAGGTGGGGGATGGGTGGAGTCTTAAGGGGGAAGGGAAGAGGGAACCAAAGAGGAAGTGGGGGAGGGAGGTAGAGGAGGCAAGTCTGGCGCCATGCTGAGTCACCGCCCACAAGGCCCAGGGCGGGCCCTCTGGGGGCCACAGCAGGGTGGCAGGGTCTTAGGGAGCCACAGGGAGGGCTGGGGGCTCTTGAAGCAAGAATGAGGAGGAGCAGGCGGCCGGAAGAGTACACGCGGACGGACAGACAGACAGTGCAGTCACCCATAAAGTAGAAAGCACTACTAACAGCACTGGAGGGTGTAGTGTTTCCTACTTTATGGATGAGTGTACTGTGGGCTTCGGAGACCACGCCACCGCCACCGCCACCGTCTTCCTCGACTCTCGGGACCATGTACGACAGGTGAGCGCCTCATGCACTTTTGCCACTGGCCCAGACCCCTGAAATGCTTCTACTGCCACCACAGTGTTGCCCTTCCTGGTTCCGGATGATCGAGAAAAGGCCACAGCAGCCTCTCTGCTGCCTGGAGTCTGGAGGGGGGGGTGCGGGGAGGGCTGCACACGTGGATCCCCGATGCAGCAGCCGCGAGCGAGGGGGAAGGCTGGCAGGGGAGGGCAGGCGGAGGGGAATGGGTGGTGGTGCCAAGGACCCCAACACTAATAAAGAATGGACTCTGCTTCTCTTTTGTCTGAGACTCTGTTGCTGGGCAGGGGGGTGGCTGCATGGGGTAGCTGGCACGTGGATGGCGTGGGCACACCGAAGGGCTGGGAGGGAGAACCACTCTCATGCTCCTGAGAGAAAAACAGGTTAGGCCCTGACTATGAGATCAGCAGAGGCCCCTGGGCCTGGCCAGGCCACAGCCGGAGGAGGGAAGGGCCCAGGCAATCTGCAGAAAGGGGGAAGGGCCTAGAGGGGTAGGGGTGTGAGGGCTTCTTGCACTTTTTACCCTAGCTCTGGCCCTGCCCTGCCCTCCACTCTCTACTCCCCCAAACTGAAGGCTGCCTACCTCCAGTGCACTTATTTATTTATTTATTTATTTTTAAGAGATGGGGTCTTGCTCTGTTGCTCTGGTTGGAGTGCAGTGGCACAATTATAGCTCACTGCAGTCTCAAACTCCTGGGCTCAAGTGACACCCTTGTCTCAGTCTCTGGGATTTACATGTGTGTGCCACCGTGCCTGGATACCTCCAGTTTTAATCTAAGACAGTCTAGATTGGTAGTATAAGAATTGGGCAAAGACACACACATCGTCTTGTACATAGACAAGGGCACAGATACTAATATACAAAGCACACATGCACCAGCATGCAAGTGCATTGACACACAGAGGCCCTATACATGTATGCCAGTAACACAAACGTTCAGTGACACACACACACACATTTATACATACAAGTGACATGGCTGGCGTGTCACACAGTCACACACAGGGATATACACACACCCAGGACACATACATATTCAATAGTACACACACATGCAATGATATAAACATGACATGTGTTACACATAGAAGAGCATACACATACACACATAGTGACATTCATATAATAAATACAGTAACTCCATACACTTATATAGTGACACATTCTTTTATGATGATAAATATAAAAGAGATACATGGTGAGATATATATATATATATATATATATATATATATATATATATATATATATATATATATATATATATATATGTAAAACCATGTCATGGCCAGGCATGGTAGTTCATGCCTGTAATCCTAGCACTCTGGGAGGCCGAGGCAGGCGGATCGCTCAAGGTCAGGAGTTCAAAACCAGCCTGAGCAAGAGCGAGACCCTGTCTCTATTATAAATAGAAAGAAATTAATTGGCCAACTAAAAATATATAGAAAAAATTAGCCAGGCATGGTGGTGCATTCCTGTAGTCCCAGCTACTCGGGAGGCTGAGGCAGAAAGATTGCTTGAGCCCAGGAGTTTGAGCTTGCTGTGAGCTAGGCTGATGCCACGGCACTCTAGCCCGGGCAACAGAGTGAGACTCTGTCTAAAAAAAAAAAAACATGTCATTACACATATATACATGACTATGAGTGTGACAATATATATGGTATAATGCCATATAATGACATTCATATACATATATCCTTATGTGTTGTAACTTATAAACTCACACAATGATAGCCTCCCATACACATGACAGCACACACACACTGTGGCAAATAGACATATGTGCAATGACACACAGAAACATGCATACACATATACCTAATGAGACTCATAGACACATATACCGGTATAACAGAACACATATATATAATGCCCCCATATACAGAAATAAATATATATCTATTCTATGTCCGCATACTATACACGTGCATGTACATAATGGCATACATATACACCCTGACCTAAACATCAGCAACACGCATCATGCAGTGACGTGCATAGTAATCTACGCTCTGCTTTAGGGAAGTAAAGATGTCATCTTCTCCCCTTGCACCCAGTCCCTCCAGTTCCATTGGTTCTGGCCTGGGTGGAGCCCATAGTCAAGGCTCTGAAGTTCGGTGTTGCTGCTGCTATTCTGTGGGAGTGCCACACGAGGGCCCCCGACCTTGGCTTACACCTCTGTCTCTGGGGACTCCATCCAGGCCAATGCCCCTGCCCCGACTCACAGGCTGACTCCTGGGTGGGAGAGTTGCCATGTCTGTGTCCCAAAAAGCCACTTTCTCACAGCAACAAGGCCTAAGGCTAGACAGAAGATGAACTTCCAGAGAGTTCGGGGGAAAGCCAACCCACGGGGCCATATGGTCTTCCCTGCTGGCTTGGGACCAACCAGGTTGTGCCCCAAATGCTGTCTGCCAGGAGGAAGCTGAAGCAATTCTCTCAGCCTATTTCTATCTCTGTCTCTTTGCTTTTATCTTCCTGTTGTTATTCCCTTGATTTCTCTCTTTGTTTCATCTCAAATCCCATCTTTTCTTGTCCTGCCCTTCTCTGTGGCTGGATCTCTGTCTACCTGACATATCCTCCCCTGTGTCTGCCTCTCCATCTCACCTGATGTGATGTGGGGAGGACGGGCTGCAGCCCCCTGCCTCCGTCCCCCGGAAGGTGTGAGGGTGTGCGGGACGAGAGGTGGGAGGCCACATGCCGGGGGCGCTGGGCCAGCATCCCGTGAGAAACCTGCTCTTCCCCCTGTCCCGACCCTGTCAGCTGGTCCAGCCCACCAGTCCAGCGCCATTGCCATGGAAACCAGCAGCTGACTTCCTATTGGTGGGCGGGAGGGGAGGAGGAGGGGGAGGGGAGGGCTGGCTCTCCCCTACTCGCCCCCCCCATTCTGAGGCTCAGCCCTCCTCCGCGCCCACCATCTCGAGGCTCCCGGACTGTAAGGGACCCCTGCAGTCCCCAGAGCTGAGGCCGGCGGGGGCAGAGACTATGAGGCAAGCAGCCCATCGACCCAGGCCTCCTTAGGACCAGCCTGCAGCCCAGCAAGCAGAAGAGAGCAGCAGAGAGGGAAGCAGGAGATAAAGGACCACAGCGGACCAGTGGGGATCCCCCCCAGCAGCACCTGAGGACCCTAGCCAGGCAGAGGGGTCGTGACGGATGGCCAGACTCACAGAAGATGACAGACACACAGCCACACCAATGCACACAGCTGCACAGCACTGACATACTCGGATACAACCAGTGACAGCATCACACACTGCCACAGCCCTGCAATACAGACACCCACACGCACACAGAAACAACTGGTAACTCTGAAACAGGCAGACAGTGACACACAGCACCACTCCCCTCAACACACATAAGTGGGGACACCCACCCTCCAGACACACACAAGCCAGCCTTGACCTGCAGGGACAGACCTGGAGACATACGCACCCCCTCACCCAGGCACTGCTGTCCGTGGCCTCTGCACACCCTCCCTGCCCCCACGGGGACACCCTCGCTGCTTCACATACTCGCACACGCATACAGCCACCAGCAAACATAGCTCACATACCCCCGGCACCAGCTCCGGCAGCCCCGACGCCTTCTGCAGCCTCCTTTGTGGGAGGGGAAGAGCTCAGCCAGCCTTGGATGGAGCCTCGGTGAAGCCAAGCGCTCAGAGGGGAGAGGGGCTGGCCTGGCATGACCCTTGCCAGCCCCCTCAGTTGGCTGGGTGATGTTCCCCAGTCTGGGTTCTGGGGCCCCTTGGCAACACCATGGAGCAACTGACAACCCTCCCACGGCCTGGGGACCCCGGAGCCATGGAGCCATGGGCACTGCCTGTCTGGCAGAGCTGGACTCCGGGCCAGGGGGGCGAACCTGGGGATATATCCCCAAACGTTGCTGATACTCCTCCGGCAGCTCTGCAGGTTAGAGAACTGAGGCTTGAGGAGAGCTTCAAGCCCAAAGGAGCCTGGAGCTCCGGGCCGATGGGGGCCATTGACCCTGAAGGAGCAAAGGCTGGGCTGCCCGGCCTGGGACAGCAAGCAGCAAGCTCTGGACCTGGCTGCCCGAGGCTGGAGGATGAGGAGGTGGAGCCTTTCCCTAAGGTAAGGAGCTGTGGAGGGCTGGGGTCTGCAAGGTGGGAGGGGTCTCTCACCATGCCGCCAGCCTGGCCAGGAGGCACGGCAAGATATGCAACCTCACAGCCCACTTCTCCTCTCTTGGCCTGTGTCTGTCTGTGGGTCTGTCTCTGTGACTGTCTGTCCTCCCTTCATTGGGCAAGAATCTCAGTGGATCCATTTTTTGGCCATTTATCTGTTTTTCTGACTCTCTTTGCCAGTCTGTCTACAGCTGGTCCTGCCCCTGCCTACCCCACCCCCACCCCCATCTCTGACAGTCTGTCTGTGTCTCCTCCTCCCTGAGTCTGTCTGTCCTTGAGGGGTGGGGGATCTGGGGGGTGCGGAGGTGTATGGTGGAATCCGAGTCCGGAGGAAGTGGATTCAGGAGAGGGGCTCCATGCTGGGCTATGCCAGGGTCTGGGGTGGGTGTGAGCAGTCTCCTGTAGAAAATGGATGGATCAGGAGTTTGGGTGGGGGGCAGGGGACTCCAGGCCATGAGGAGTCTTGACAGGGAGAGAATGGGAGCTCAAGCTGGCATTTCCCTGGAGGAGAAGATGGGCAGGTATGGAGAGCATCAGGGAACAGCAGGAAGGTCCCCAAGGGTGGGGGTGCCACTGCGGGCAAGGAGGACTGGATAGCCCCTTCTCTTGGGCTTCCCCTGCCCCTCTCTGAAGGCTTGGGATGCGGCAAAGAACCTTCTCATCTCCATGTCTTCTTGGACTGTGGAGGGGACGCTTCCACAGGAAGGGCTCTGACTGGGTGGGGTGGGCTCCTGAGGTGCCGTACCCTGTCCTTTCCCATGCCAGGCCAAGCTGAACATGGGCTTCGGGGACAGGCCCAATCCGGAGCTGCTGAGGGCCCTGGGGGAGCTGCAGCAGCGCTGTGCCATCCTTAAGGAGGAAAACCAGATGCTGGTGAGGCTTGAGGAGCAGGGTCCCGCGTCCTGGCTGGAGCCAGGCCCTTCGCCTCGGTGCCCTCCTCACCCCATGGACATCCCTCTGAGTGGGGGCTACATGGGGTGACATAATCCCAAGCCCCAGAGAGGGTGAACCCCTGCCTAGAGTTGCCAAGGGCCCCCCGTGAGCCCAGGGCGCTAGCCTAAGCCCTTGGCAGCTAGGATTGGGTCAGTGGGTGCTCTCCTTATCCCCCAATTCTGCCTGACCCCTTGTCAGAGGAAGAGCAGCTTCCCTGAGACGGAGGAGAAGGTGAGGAGGCTGAAGCGGAAGAATGCAGAGCTGGCGGTCATTGCCAAGCGCCTGGAGGAGAGGGCTCAGAAGCTGCAGGAAACGAACCTGAGGGTGGTGAGGACAGAAGGCTGCTGGGCAGAGGCTGGGTGACCAAGGAAGAGGGGAGCCGGGGCTGGGCCTAAGGGGCAGTCTGGGGCTAGGAGTCATAGATTCGGCACCCAGGAAAGCACTGAAGGGGTGCTTAGGGGCCGAAGCGTAGGGATGGCAAATGCTGGCCAGGCCAGGAGGCTGCAGGTTCCTGGAGCTACAGGGGGGAGAGACGGGCTGGGTGGGGAGGTTCCTGAGAGGCAGGGAGCAGGATTCTGGATTACCACGTGCTGGTGCTGGCTGCAGCCTCCTGCTGAGCTCATCTCAGGGTGTAGAGCTGGAGTGGGGGCAGGGGTAAGACCCATCACAGTGGCAGCCCAGAATTAGTGGCATCCTTTGGATCTAAACTAGAACACAGAGCTAATCCTTTCAGTCCCTGCTTGGGGACTGCTGGGATGGGGTGAAGTGAGGCTGCTGGTCCTCTGAGACCCCAGACCCGGTGGAAGAAGGAGGCCAGGCTCCTAGCTTTTCAAGCTAACTCCTTTTTTGGGAGGAGCTAAGTAGTGGGAGAAGTGCCCTATCCCTCAGGTGACCATTGGCCTTACCCATCCTCTGGCTAGGTGAGTGCCCCGGTGCCCCGGCCGGGGGCCACCTTGGAGTTGTGCCGGAAGGCTCTAGCCCGCCAGCGAGCCCGGGACCTCAGCGAGACAGCCAGTGCACTGCTGGCCAAGGACAAGCAGATTGCCGCCTTGCAGCGGGAGTGCAGGGAGCTGCAGGCCAGGCTCACCCTGGTGGGCAAGGTGCGAGGAGGAGGCCGGGTCACTCCTTCCAGCTCAGCTGTCTACACAGAGCCGCCTTGCCTGGCGTAGGATGCCGACGAGATGTTAATGAGATGCAAATAAAACGGAAGGTGGAGGCTGCCGGGGAGTAGGTTCCCCTGGCAACGGCCCAGGTGGGAGAGGGAGGAGGGGGTGGAGCCATGAGTCCCAGGCCTGGGCATTTCTGTGCTCCAGGCTTGAGGCTGTGCGCTGGTAGGTCTGGCTGTATTTAGTACAGTGCCCGGCACACCTCAAGCACCCGAGAACCAAGTTACTGAGTTTCCGTGCGTTTAGATTAGCAGAAGCATGTGGCCGTACATACATGAACCGGGCATGTATACGTGGGGGAGATGTGTGCGAGCCCCTCCAGCAAGGCCGAGGGTGGGCTCTGCCCGGGATGTCATGGGGCGGGTAAGGGTTAGGCCTGACTCTCCTGCCTGTCCCCCCCCCGCCCCCTGCCCCAGGAGGGTCCCCAGTGGCTCCACGTGCGGGACTTCGACCGGCTGCTTCGAGAGTCCCAGCGGGAGGTGCTGCGGCTGCAGCGGCAGATCGCCCTGCGCAACCAGCAGGAGCCGTCCCCGCCGTCCCGGCCCCTGGGCTCTGCTGCCGGGGCCAGAGCAGGGGCGCCGGCTCCTGGGGCTCCTGGAGAGGTGAGCCCCGGCGCCAGGGCAGGTGTGTGGGTGCGTGCAGAAGGGGGCGACCCTAGGATCTTCCCCTGAACCGTATTCAGATCCCCAACGACCTGGTGGTGGCCTGCGCACTCCGAAGGGCTGGAGAGCTTTCTCAACCCCGGGCAGGGTCCCTTTCCAAGCCTCCCGCGCTCGTACCTTCGTTGCGCCGCCCCTGGGGGTTCCCGGGTTCCGCCCTCCGTAGTCCTGCGCCCCACCGGGCCGCCCAGCCGCCCCCGCCGCGCCGCCAGTGGTACGGCCCGGCAGCAAATCCCTGGTTGCCCTGGCAGCCGCCCGGGGCCCAGCCCGCGCCGCCTCCTCCGGCCCTTCAGCGCCCGCCCGGCTGGCCAGGCCTGGCCTCGGCTACTCAGGGGCGGCACTGCGGCCCCTCCAGCTCCAGGTACGGGCGACCCTCACCGAGTGAGGGGCTTGAGCAGCCCCTGTCCGAGGGCCGGGGACCCACTCCGGACCCCCAGAACTTAGGGATCTAGCTCCTCTCCATCATCCTAGGTGGGCAGCAACTAGGTCCGCCTCCTTTGGGGAAGATGGGCGGGAGAAGGGACCCTATAGTGCCCAAGGCCTCCAGGTGGGGGATGCTTCTTGCTCTGATTTCGCCTCTCTGGCTGGCCCAAGGAGGGAAAGGCACCTCCCATCGAAACCTGTCCTCCAAAGTTTGCAGGGAGAAATGGGAGGTGCAATAGGGTGGGCTAGAGGGAAGTCAGGAGGAGGGTCTGGCAAAACCCAGACTGGATGATCGAGAACCTCTAGCTCTGGGAGCATCACATCCCTGGGGGCCCAAGCAGCCTCCTAATTCTCTGCCAGTCACTGAAGGACACCCAGGACAGTTATTGAGTGCAGAGCAGGGCTGCTGCTGGAAGCTAAAAAGGGAAAGCTTTGGCCTGGATAAAGGACCCATCTCCCAGGGCACACACAGGTCCAGGATCTCAAAGCACTTATAGCTTTGGGACACAGGGGTGAGGCCTCCACATCTGACACCAGCTGGAAATGATGAGGTGGTGGGCAGACAGTACCCTCCCCCCCCTCTTCCCAAGCAGGGATCTCACTGCTGTGTGATGGGGCGGCAACCTCCTCTGGGCAGGCTGGGCTGGGGGCAGGCTGCCCAGGGGGCCCTGTTCTCGGGTGCCAGCCCCTGCCCCTGGGCATTTCCAGGCCACGACCCAGGAGTATGTGGACAACCCACCTGTGGTTCTAGGGGAACCAGAGAAACAGCAGAGAGTGCAGCAGCTGGTAAGTCCTAGGTCAAGGGCTGGAGGCGACCTGCTATGGGCAGATCTGCTTTCCCATATGAGGAGCCCTTGATTTTGACCCCACAGGAATCTGAGCTCAGCAAGAAGCGGAAGAAATGTGAGAGTCTAGAGCACGAAGCCCGGAAAAAGCAGAGGCGATGTGAGGAGCTGGTGAGCTCTTGAGGGCTGCCCGGAGGCCAGCTGCCCCCTTCCCCAGGCCGGCCAGGTTGTGGGCTTCCTCTTGGCTTTGCTTTCCTCTCCTGGCTGATGCGGGTTTCGGGCAGGGCAGAAAGGCCTTGCCTGGGAGGTGGGCAGGGTCCTCTGTGTGGGGAGAGGAGGAATCTGGGTGCTGGGCCCTTTCCCCAGAGCTCCTCTGCCCCCTCAGGAACTGCAGCTGAGAGAAGCCCAGAATGAGAATGCCCGCCTGGTGGAGGAGAACTCTCGGCTCAGTGGGAGAGCCACGGAGAAGGAGCAGGTACCAGCTATGCCCAGGTGCCATAGAGGCCTGTGCTCCTGCTAGGACCCTGGTTCCCAGCAAGGGGCTCCCTCCTGCACCCCCAGCCCCTCTTCGCTGGGGTAGAGTATGAAGGATATTATTCCCCCTGATTAGGGAGCCGGTGGGACAAGTCTCACACCCAGCTCCCTGCCACTGCCCCCTCGCCAGGTGGAGTGGGAGAATGCAGAGCTGAAGGGCCAGCTTCTGGGGGTGACGCAGGAGAGGGACTTAGCCCTTCGCAAGAGCCAGGGCCTGCAGAGCAAGCTGGAGAGCCTGGAGCAGGTGCTCAAGGTGAGGGGGACTGTGCAGGTGGGGGAGGTATCGGGCCCTGGCACAGGGAGAAATGGGGACAATAGAGTCTGCTCTGTGTAGGGCACTGGGGCCAGTCCTGGTGTTGCCAGCTCCTTGCCTTCTCCAGTCTCAGTGTCCTTTTTAACAGAGGGGATCTGAGGCAGATGGTATCTGAGGATCTCTTAGCTTAGATGTTGTGTAGAAATGGCGGAGTAGGGGGCCCTGGCTTTGACCCCGGGTCTTGTGTTTCAGCACATGCGGGAGGTGGCCCAGCGGCGGCAGCAGCTGGAGGTGGAACATGAGCAGGCTCGGCTCAGCCTGCGGGAGAAGCAGGAGGAGGTCCGGAGGCTGCAGCAGGTGGGACAGGAGCGAGGGGAGGGTGGCAGGCTGCTGGACCCCAGCTTCGCCATCTGCTTATCCAATATACATTTTCCGTGTGCCTGGCATTGTGCTAGGCACCGGGGAGGCAGCGGTGACCACAAACACGTCCCCGACCCATCAGCAAATAAGCAGATCTGAGAACGAGATGATTCCAGACACTGACGAGCACTGCGGGAGATGAGCAGGGGGATGTGGCTTGAGGGTGGCTGGGGTGGGGTCAGGCACCCTGTTAGAGGTCATCAGGGAAGGCATCCCTGAGGAGGTGGCAGTTGAGCTTGCCAAGCAGGAGAGATGCCCTGTGGCAGGAAGGGCTGGGGGCAGGTGTTTAGCAGGAAAGGTCAAGAGCCAGATCCTGGCCAACCTTAAACGCCACAGGAAGAGTTTGAATATTTTGCTCTATGAGTGGTAGGAAGCTGTTGAAAGGTCCTAAGCTGGGGAGTAACACCATCTGATTTATGATTTTACAAGATCCCAGAGGTGGCATCATGGAGGGTGGACTGTGGGTTCAGGCATGGAGCAGGGGCTGGGCTGAGACCCAGGATGGAGATGGTGGCTGTTTGGGCTCAGATATAGGCAGTGGCAGTGGAAACAAGTGGACAGATTTGAAATGTGTTTTGGAGATAGAATTGACAAGGCTCGTCCAAGAGCAGTGGCTCACTCCTGTAATCCTAGCACTGTGGGAGGCTGAGGCAGGAGGATCGCTTGAGGTCAGGAGCTCGAGACCAGCCTGAGCAAGAGCAAAACCCTGTCACTACAAAACGTAGAAAAATTAGCCAGGTGTGGTGGCGTGTGCCTGTAGTCCCAGCTACTTGGGAGGCTGAGGCAGGAGGATTGCTTGACTTTGAGGCTGCAGTGAGCTAAAATGACACCACTGCACCCTAACTAGGGTGACAGAGAGAGACCCTGCCTTAAAAAAGAAAGAAAAATAAAAAAAGGAATTGACAAGACTTACCGTGGGATTCCAGGTGAATCTCTTCTCTGTCACCCATTTGCTGTATAAACCCTGCTGGAGGGTGGGCCTTTCACACCCCAGCAGGTGAAGGAAGAGGTGGCAACAGACCTGAGAGGCAGGCAGTCCTGGGTCCTGGGTTCTGCGCTGGCCAGGTTTGGGCTGTGTGTTAGACACTTGGGGGCATAGTCAAACAGCTGGACATGCAAGTCTGGAGTCGTGGGAAAGTTGGCCATGGAGTTATTAGGAGCCATCCGTGTGTTTAGTTGTGTGACTAGACAGGACACCCTGGGTGAGAGTAGAGAATATAAAGTGGGTCCAGTGCTGTGCCCAGGGGTACCCTAACATTAAAAAGGCAAGGCAAGGTGAAAGAGGCTGAGAAGGAGCATCCGGAGAGGTAGGAGGGAGGCCAAGAGGGTGGGAGTCCAGAGAGAAAGTGCCAGGCCGCCCTGCTACTCCGCCCCTTGCCTTCTGGTCTAAGGTATGCTTCACGGTGGGAGTTGGGGAGGGAGAAGCCCCCAGCCTCCCCCTTCCCTATCCCCTTTTCCTTTGTTCCCTGGCCTTTTCTTTCTCCCCACTCCTTCCCTGCCTTTGCCCTTCCTGCCCTCCCTGCCTCACTCCTACCTCCCCTCCAGCAGCATTCTACTTCCTACCCCACAGGCCCAGGCGGAAGCCAGGAGGGAGCATGAAGGGGCCGTGCAGCTGCTGGAGGTAGGGTCCCTGGAGGTGGCCCCCAGCTCCAGCACCTTGGGAGGAAGGCAGGGGGACTTCAGAAAGAGCTAGAATGGACTGCGTGTTGTGGGGGAGGGGTTGTGGGTGGGTGGGGGGCCCTGAAATGCTCCCTCCCTCTCTGGGTTAGTGACCTACAGGGCTAAGGTTCTAACCTCTCCTCTGTGCTTTCCTTTCCTGCCACAGTCTACCTTGGATTCCATGCAGGTACAGCCTTGTCCCCCACCTCCCCCCTGCAGTTCCCCTCCCCGCACCTGTCTGGGCTGCTGAGCTGCAGCCCCTCCCTCAGGCCAGGCGGTCCCAGCTCTCATGTCCAACAGAGGGCTGTCACTGGGAGTAGACCTGAAAGTCTGTAGATACGCTGGGGTTCCTACAGGACCCATGGGCTGTCCCCTCATTCCAGGTCTGCCGCCATGCCTGGCAGACACGGGGCCTTCCCTCTCTAGCCACTCGGACCATGGGGAAGTTCATCACCTGTCTAACTTATGAGCCCTGGGACTTTGGCCAGGGGAGGCCCCTGGTATTGGAACTCTCCTGATGCTGGAGACAAATTCTTGAGAATTGGCCCATCCTGCCATGAAGGTGTCCCTAGCTCCCCTGTGGCACCTCTGGCCCACCCCTCCGAGGGCAGGGGTTTGGGTTGCCGACTGTGAGAGGGCGACAGCGATGGAGCTGGGAAAGCTCCCGAGGTGACTGGGCGGGGCCGAGGGCAGAAGCAGAAGCACACTGCCCAGCGTGGGGGGCTGGGGGGAGCTGGTGAGTGTGTGGCAGCCCCGGCCTTGGCTCTGGAGGGGGCTGGGATGAAGATGTCCCAGGACACAGCCCAGGACTTCACCCCCTGCTCGGACGAGGGTGGTGCCCGGCCCGGGGCTGTGTGGGGATGGCACGGGGGGTTGGCACTGGGCAGCTTTGCTGGGCCCGGTGGCTCATGGTGGGTCTTGGCCCAGGCCCGGGTCCGAGAGCTTGAGGAGCAGTGCCGCAGCCAAACCGAGCGCTTCAGCCTCCTGGCACAGGAGCTCCAGGCCTTCCGCCTGCACCCTGGCCCCTTGGATCTGCTCACCTCTGCCCTGGACTGTGGGGCCCCTGGGGACCACCCGCCACCCCCCTGTTGCTGCTCCACCCCACAGCCCTGCCGAGGGTCCGGCCCCAAAGGTAAGGTGACATTGGCCTGGCATGCCCAGGCCTGGGGCTTTTGTATAGAGCAGAGAGGTCAAGGTCAGAGAAGGTCAGCAACTTGTGCAAAGCCACACAGCAGGTGACAGCTGTGTCTGGCTAGAATCAGATCTGAAGGGGAAAAACAAAGCTCAGGCAGGGGCCGGGCGTGGTGGCTCACGCCCGTAATCCTAGCACTCTGGGAGGCTGAAGCAGGCGGATTGCTCGAGGTCAGGAGTTCGAAACCAGCCTGAGCAAGAGCGAGACCCCATCTCTACTATAAAAATAGAAAGAAATTAATTGGCCAACTAATATATATAGAAAAAATTGGTGCATGCCTGCAGTCCCAGCTACTCGGGAGGCTGAGGCAGGAGGATTGCTTGAGCCCAGGGGTTTGAGGTTGCTGTGAGCTAGGCTGACACGGCACTCACTCTAGCCTGGGCAACAAAGTGAGACTCTGTCTCAAAAAAAAAAAAAAAAAGCTCAGGGCAGGGACTGTTCTGGAGTCTGGCCCAGGCATCTCAGGCCACTGCTCTTCTCCCTCCAACAAGACCCGGGCTGGGAGTTGGGCACCAGGAGCCAGTAGTGGGCAGTATGGTCTTGTGAAGAGTTGGGGCCGGGGGCAGTCAGATCCACTGTTCCCAACTCCACTCACTTAACAGCCAATGGGATTTGGGGCACGCTGCTCAACCTCAGTTTCCTGAGCTGTAAAACAGGGATAAGTAAATGCATCTCATCACGCTGCTCTGAGGATCATGTAGAATAATATATGTAAATATATGTAAATCACCCACACCTCTACTTAGTAAGTTGCCCTCCAAATTTCCCCTTCTTGTAAGGAAACTCGGCTATGGGGGGGCATGACCCCATATCCAAGGTACTCCACCCTATCTCCCCAGTCCCTCCCCAGGCCAAAGACCCCAAGCCCATCTTCTCCTTATTTTTTATTTTTATTTTTATTTTCATGGAACATCATGGAACTGAACCATCTTCTCTTTAGACCTTGACCTCCCGCCGGGCTCCCCAGGACGCTGCACCCCAAAGTCCTCTGAGCCTGCCCCTGCCAGCCTTGCTGGGGTCCCTCGAAGGATGGCCAAGAAGGCAGAGTCCCTCTCCAACTCCTCGCGCTCTGAGTCCATCCACAACAGCCCCAAGTCATGCCCGACTCCTGAGGTCAGTGCTGGGGAGGGGCCTGGGGTTCTGGCTTTGGCTTAGGGACATGAGATGTCCCTGGTCTCTTCGGGGGTCCGCAGGAGTTGGGTCCCGAGTTGGGAGGTGGAAGGTCTGTGGGTTCCTTGCATGGGCGGGGAGCTCAGATGCAGCCTGTCCCTGCCCTCCAGGGCCTGCCTGCAAGCCCCACCTGGGGCCACCCAGCCCCACCCTCCCCCGGGGCCCAGGGAGGCCCTAGAGTCTAGGCTGGACGGAGGAGACACTTTGGCGCCAGGCTGCACATAATGAGACTATTCCTAAGCGCATCTGTAGCGGAAGCAGATGAGCAACAGCACAGGTTCCGGGATTCAAATCCCAGCTCTGTCTTAGGCAAGTCCCTGACCCCTTCTGGGCTTTGGTTTCCTTATCCGAATACTGGAGCTAATAACACCCACCTTCTACGGTGGTTGTGAGGATTACATGAAAAAATATAAGACAAGAGCCTGTTTCAGTGTGGGGCTGACAGTAGATGCTTAACAGATGGCAGCTATTATTATCGCAAAGTCCTTGGGCATCACTCACAGCTCTTCTGATGGCTTCGTCTCTCTTTCTACCCACAAACCCCAGAAAGTGGAGGGGGCAGAGCAGGAGCAGCTCTGCTACCCAGGGTTCAGACAGTGGCCCAAGCCAGCCCCTGCCTTTGCTGCCCCCTCGTGGGGTAGGATGGTAGTGCTGGCTTTGGGTGCAGGGGGCCCCTTCTCCTAGGCTTTGGCAGAGATGGTGAGATAGCCTGCTCCCCAGGCCAGCCCCAGCAATCTGGAGCAGGGTTAGGGAATGGGGCGTCCCTAGCCGTGGGTTGGGCCAGTGGACAGGAAGTTCTGAGTTCCAGGGCTGACCCGAAGAAGCACTGTCATTGGCTAGAGAGGCAGGGACTTCTCCAGCCCCTTCTGTCTTAGCTTCCAGCTCTCTATAGTCAGGCGCTTTGCTGTGCTTTTACCTTAAGGAGGCAAACTGCCATTGACACCCACTCCCCACACCAGCGTGGCCTGACCCCCTCTCAGATGGGGGAGGTGGCCTCAATTTATCAGCCGGTGCACAGAGGCCGGAGCTCAGGGAGGGACCCAGGCTACCCTCACTGCCCCTGCCTGGGGAAGCTGGGCTCGGCCAGGACCTGCTGGCTCAGGCGCTGACTGAGAAAACGTTGGGGGGCTCCTTGCCACTGGCCTTGTCCGGCATGTATGTGCTCACTTTCCCTTCTCAAGGCAAGGGGTCCTCTGGCTTGGCCTGGAAAGCCACTTGCTTGGCCTTCGGCCCCGGGCCCTGAAGAGGAACCAGCCCTTTCTGTCTGCCCGCAGGTGGACACAGCCAGTGAGGTGGAGGAGCTGGAGGCGGACAGCGTCTCCCTGCTCCCAGCAGCGCCGGAGGGCAGCCGGGGAGGAGCCAGGATCCAGGTCTTCCTAGCGCGCTATAGGTGGGCCCCTCACCCTCACTGCCCATCCCCCCAGCACTTGGGGTGTATGGGAGGAGGGGGCTGGGTAAACACAGAGACCTCTTGGAGGTGGTGTGGGTGGTACAAGGACCCCAGTCGGATATATTCTCATAACCTAGTTGGGCCAAGGTGGGCGCAGTGAGCAATCTATTTTGCTAAAGGTGGACAAGCGAGTGTCCGTAGAAGCTTAGTGCAGTGGGGGAGAGAAGACGGGACATGGAGGTACAAAGTAGGTTGCTGTTCTCCTCCCCCTCTGTGCCCCGCTCAACAGCTACAACCCCTTCGAGGGCCCCAATGAGAATCCGGAGGCAGAGCTTCCGCTGACGGCTGGCGAGTACATCTACATCTACGGCAACATGGACGAGGATGGCTTTTTCGAAGGTGGGAAGGTAGTGGGGGTCATTCTGACCCTTCCCCTGCCTGTAAGCCCCTGTTCCCAAAGACCTCCATCCACCCCTCCATCACCTCTCCCCATCATGCTCAGCCCACCATGCCTTTTAAGACTCAGCAAAAAGGCACACACAGACCTGGCAGGCAGTGGGGAAAGAGAAGGAAAGGAGTCTGGCCCCAACCAGGACAGGGCATGCCACAGTCCAGATGAAGGGTGGACTATCCCAGGTGGTTTTGGCTAGATTTATTTTTGTGCTGGTAGACAGGGCATGCCAGTGTTTCGCATGACACTCGAGGTCAGGCCTGCAGCACAGATTTGATGCTGGGCTCCAATCAGGCGTGGACAGGGGGAGTCAGGGTCCAGATCCCAGAAGAAGGTGTCAGCGGATGGTTAGCAGTTGTCAGAGCCCTGGCAGGGCCAGAGGGCTCACCAGGCAACCGATGCCTCATTGAGACTGGGCAACAGGACAGGGCCTGTGGAAGAAATGGCCTTGGGACACTGCCCCAGTGTGGCAGCAGCCAGGAGGACGGCACCAAGTAGAGACTAATGTGAGGCGTGGACAGGGCAGGGCGAGGGCTGCGACTGTGTGTGGAGCTTTAGGAGAGGAGTTAGATCTGAGTCTGCAGCGCCGACAGCTTGGAGCCTGCTCAGCTCTTGCCCTGGGCCTGCTGCCTGTTATTTGAGTGACAGTACCTGGCTTTGTGGCCGAGACAGCTAATCTCCCCATAGGGGTGGATGATGAAGAGCATGATTAAATAGCTTCCAGGAAAAGGATACCTATTTTATGGAAGAAAAAAATCAAAACAACAAAAACCCAAGCACCTTTTTTTTTTTTTTGGAGGGGAACAGTGAAATCCTAAGTATTAACTAACCACAAATTGCTAGAATTCGAACCCTACCATCTTGGGTAGGTTGGGATAGATTTAAAGTCACGTAGACAACTGAGTGTAGGATGCTGTATTCCCCATCCGACTTTAAGCTAAGGGACTGCTTCGTGGGAGGACTGGACTGTCCTCAGTGGCACAGGCTTGGGGAGCACGTGCCTGACTCTGCCGGGCTCCAGCTTCAGCCTCGAGAGCTGTATTTTCTTGATGTAAAGGTCCTACCTACTCCTCAGTGAGGGTGAGGTGCCTCTATTGGTTTCCCAGGGCTGCAATAACAAATTATGGTACCACCACTGGGTCGCTAGGAACAATTGACATTTAGTCTCTCACTGGCCTCTTTGGAGGCCAGAAGTCTAGAATCAAGGTGATGGCAGGTCTGCATTCCCTCGGGGGCCTCCAGGGCAGAACCTATTCCTTGTCTCTTTCAGCGTCTGGTGGCTCCAGGTTCTCCTTGGCTTGTGGCCATGTCACTCCATTCTCTGTGTCTGTGGTCACATTGCCTCTCCTCACCCGCTTCTCCTCTGTGTGTCTCTTATAAGGACACTCATCTTTAGATTTAGGACCCACCCGGATAATCTTGGATGATCTCATCTCAAGATCTTTAACTTAATTACCTCTGCAAAGACGCTATTTCCAAATAAGGTTGCCTTCACAGGTTCCAGGGATTAGAACATGGACATATTTTTGGGCGGCCACCATTCAGCCCACTAGAGTGCTTATTATATCTAATGTATCAAGAGTCCCTATTATTTCTTCAAGTTTTCTTACTTTTTTTTTTTGCCTGCTAGCATACGCAGAGGGAGGGAGTGGGGGTGAGAGGCACAAGTTACTGCCGGGGAAATACCTGGCGGCCCTGCAGCTCAGACCCGCCTCCTCCACTTACCCCTCTGCCCCACACCCTGGGCCGTGTTCCCCTTCCTCCCAAAAAGACATAGCAGCCACCACCGCTCTGTTCTCTGAGAATTTTTTTTCCTACTTTCAATTGACTGTACCATGACATGCTGAGTGCTCAGCTTCCTTGACATCCCTCAACCAAACAACTACAACAAATGTTTTACCATACCCATCGTCATGTCTTCAGGGGAACTGACACAGGTGACAGAACTTACCATTGGTCACTGCCCAGATTGACAGCTGTCAGTCATCCTCCCAGACATAGGCCTGCCAGGGGTCCAAATCCTTCTAGAACCCATAAGTGACTCTTTCTTCTTTGTCTCTAAAGACCCCTTCTCTTGTCCTGATGAGGGGGTGGTTCCCCTCTCCCTCTTGGGGATGTGCTTTTCACAAAGGGAAGTTGAGGGGCACCCCAGCACCCCCCCTCGGTCCTGTGGAAAACCCACTATGGGAGCTTTCTGATCAGTAGAATCTGTTTTCCCAGCTTGACCTGTTAATTTTTTTCAATTTTAATACAAAACTATCAAATTATTCTTTCAATTTTTTAACATGGATGTTTTCAAATGTACAGAATAGTACAATGGACACCTATGTACCCACCACCTCGATTCCACAATTGTTAACATTTTGCCGTATTTGCTTTATTCATATGTAAGGTTAAAAATGATTTAAAAATAAGTTGTAGGTAGCATGACATTTTATCTCAAAATACTTCAACGTTCATACTTAGAACATGGACATTCTTCTGCATCTTTGGATCACCTGGGAGCTTGTGAGAAACTCAGAATCTCAGCCCCACCCAGGCCTGAGTTAGAATCTGCGTTTTAATAAGTCTCCAGGTGATTCATGTGACACATTAAAATTTAAGAAGCACTGTCTCACATAACCTAAATGCTGTTATCACACCTATGAAAACTAACAATAACCCCCTAATCCACACTTCTACTGCTCTTGCCTTTTAAAAGCACTGACACTTAAATGTTGATTTGAATCAAATATTTAAGATCACCCAGTAGCTGTTGCTCAAATGCATTTATTTGACCGGTTGTTCTTTCCCCCTGTCTCACCCTTCCCTGTCCTTTCTTGTCCTTCCTGTGCCAGGGGAGCTCATGGATGGCCGAAGGGGCCTGGTCCCTTCCAATTTCGTAGAGCGGGTGTCCGATGACGACCTCCTGACCTCCCTCCCTGCGGAGCTGGCTGATCTGTCCCACAGCTCAGGCCCTGAGCTCAGCTTCCTGAGCGGAGGTGGGGGTGGCAGCAGCAGCGGGGCCCAGAGCAGCGGGGGACGCAGCCAGCCCAGACTGGAGGAGGAGGATGCAGGGGGCGAGCTCAGTCTGAGTCCCCCACTGGAGGGCCTGGGCGAGCCTCCTGTGGTGCCTTACCCCCGCCGCCTGGTGGTCCTCAAGCAGCTGGCGCACAGCGTGGTGCTGGCCTGGGAGCCGCCTCCTGAGCGAGTGGAACTACACGGCTTCCACATCTGCGTGAACGGGGAGCTACGTCAAGCCCTGGGGCCCGGGGCGGCCCCCAAGGCTGTGCTTGAGAACCTGGACCTGCAGGCCGGACCCCTCCATGTCTCTGTGCAGGCCCTGACCAGCCGGGGCAGCTCCGACCCTCTGCGCTGCTGCTTGGCGGTGGGTGCTCGGGCCGGACTGGTACCTGGCCAGCTGCGGGTCCACCGGTTGACAGCCACATCTGCTGAGATCACCTGGGTGCCCGGCAATAGCAACTTGGCCCATGCCATCTACCTCAATGGGGAAGAGTGCCCACCTGCCCGCCCCAGCACCTACTGGGCCACCTTCTGCCACCTACGGCCTGGCACACCCTATCAGGCCCGAGTGGAGGCTCAGCTCCCGCCCCGAGGGCCCTGGGAGCCAGGCTGGGAGCGGCCAGAGCAGCGGGCTGCCACCCTGCAGTTCACCACACTCCCAGCAGGTATGCAGGCTTGGGCCCTGATGTCCATAACACCCAGGAGACCAGACCGTGGGCGACACAGGAAGCAGAGATGAAATGCCGATTGGGCTGGTACCTCTGGCAGGGAGTGTCCTACGGTGCTGGGTCTTGTGCCTCCCTTTCCCTAGGCCCACCCGATGCCCCCCTGGATGTGCAGATTGAGCCAGGGCCCTCCTCTGGAATCCTGATCATCAGTTGGCTCCCAGTCACCATCGATGCGGCCGGCACCTCCAACGGTGTCCGTGTCACAGGCTACGCCATCTATGCTGATGGGCAGAAGGTATGGCCTGGGGACTGTGCCCATCTGTACCCTGGGGCTGGTGTGGGTTCCTCCTTGCTGAGAGGCCTAGGCTCCCTGGCCTGGCACAAAGATGCCCAGCCCCTGGCTCTTGGGCACTATGCGGCAGATCTGTCAAGAGCATGGGCTTTGGCAGCACGTGACGATGGATCTGAAAACTGTTCTACCGCTGAAGCCACAAGCCCAGGAGGATTAAATGAGATAAGGCATTCGGGGGCTTAGCACAGTGCCTGGCGTAGTGCTAGCTACCACTACTGTCCTTGTGTCCTCAGCCTCCCCTTCCCGGCATGTGTTCCCCTGCAGATCATGGAGGTGGCCTCACCCACGGCAGGCAGCGTGCTGGTGGAGTTGTCCCAGCTGCAGCTGCTGCACGTGTGCCGAGAGGTGGCTGTGCGCACGATGTCGCCCCATGGCGAGTCAGCCGACTCCATCCCGGCTCCTGTCGCTCCAGCCCTGGGGACTCCGGCCTGCCTGCCAGCCGGGGTCTCCTGCCCCTCACCACGAGCAAGCCCAGAGGCCAGACCACCCCTTGCTGCTGCCTCCCCCGGGCCTGGGGACCCCAGCTCTCCTCCCCAGCGCCCTGTCCCCCACGGAACTCAAGAGCCCCTAGAGGCTTCCCCAGCAAGCCCTCCAAGAGAGACGCCGAAAGGGTCCCAAGAGGAACCTCCAGCACCTTGTGCCCAGGTACCCTGTCTGGGGAGGAGAAGCAGGGGCAGGCTTGGAGAAGGCCTGTGGCCCTGGCCCTTCCTCAGTGCCTGCCATTCCAGGAGGAGGCGGGGGCAGCTGTGTTGGGCGCCTCGGAGGAGAGGAGGGCCAGCGAGCCAGCCCAGGGCGAGGGGGCCCCTGGCCCTGCAGCTCCCTCACTGGCCGAGCAGGAGGTCGAGTGGACTTCGGGAGAGGCCCGCCCGGCACCCTGCTCCACTCAGGCAGGGGTGGCCCAGCAGGTGCCGAGCCCTGAGGCATGCCGAGGAGGAGACACGGGGTCTGGGCTGAGGCCCAAGGGTGAGGTAGGGGTTGGGGACACACTATGTCACCTCGAAGAGTCGGGGCCTGCCTCCCTGCCTCTGCTAGCCCAAACCTGGCTGCCCTCTCTGCTTGTCCGCTGCTCTGGGCCGGCTCTGACACCTTTGTGCTGTATGTCTGTTTCTTCGTATAGTTTTCTTCCCAGATTTCTCTACCCTGTTTGGCCCCGGTCCCTTTTACCCTGCCCTGACCCCCTTGTGTCCACCCCTGTTCTGGGCATGATTCCTGCTCCCTCTGCCAAGGGACCCCTTCTATTGTGGCTGAGGCCACCCCTGCCTGGAGTCCCCTGTGTCCCCCTCACTGTTCCCCTGTCTCTCCTGCCTCATCAGAAGGAGGACGCTGCAGAGCTCGGGGTTCGTCTGGTGAACTCCCTTGTGGACCACGGCCGCAACTCAGACCTCTCAGACATCCAGGAGGAGGAGGAGGAAGAGGAGGAAGAAGATGAGCAGGGTTCCAGGACTTGCTCCTTCCAGAAGCAGGTCGCTGGCAACAGCATCAGGGAGAACGGGGCCAAGGTAACGGGGCTGAGGGGCTGGTGGGCCCCAGACCTCAGGCTCCAGGGGCCTCCACCACATGTCAGCAGCTGCTCCAGCCGCCACCGAGTGCCACCAACATTCTAGGTGTGTGGCCTGGGCCCTGTCCTGAGCAGCAGACAGGAAGTGACCCAGGATCGGCCTCTGCCCTCCTGGGAAGGAAGGGGAGGAGGAGCTCTTCTCTGCACCTTCCGTCCCTCCAGCCCCCAGATGCAGCGCCCTGGCCAGGGAGGCTGGTGTCATCTGAGATCCTTGTGCTGGGAGTTTCTGGGAGAGGGTGTGGAGACCTCTCCACTGTGACAGGCATGGCCGGCTCTCTGGTGCTCCTGTCCCCCAGGGTCGGTGCTGTTTCCTCGTGTGTGCTCCTTAATTCTTCCTGTGGCTCTGCGGGCCACGTGTGTGACGCTGGGCCAGACACTGTCCCTCTGGTTCCTTCCTCTCGGAGGAAGCACGAGAGGGAGGGCTGTGGGGTTGCCCGTAACCCCTGCCCTCGTTTGGAGGCAAAGATCACAGCTCTCTCCTCTTCCCCACACACCTCTCTTCCCTGATGCTCTCTGCTCCCCACCCCAGCCCCCGTCCCAGCCTGACCCCTTTTGTGAGACTGACAGCGACGAGGAGATCTTGGAGCAGATCCTGGAGCTGCCCCTCCAGCAGTTCTGCAGGAAGAAGCTTTTTAGCATCCCCGAGGAAGAGGAGGAGGAAGAGGAGGAGAAGCCGGGGGCAGGCTGTTCTTCCCGAGACCCTGGCCTACCTGAACCTGCGTCGCTGGGGCTGGGCTATGACGGTGGCCAACCCCGAGGACCTGGCCAGTGTCCCTTGTCTCCTGAGCCATGCAGGGCTGGGGACCACCTGGAGGACATGCCTGGACTAGTTGGTGGAAGCAGCCGGAGGAGAGGAGGGGGCTCCCCTGAGAAGCCCTCAAGCCGCAGGCGGCCTCCAGATCCCCGGGAACACTGCAGCCGGCTCCTCAGCAACGGCGGGCCCCAGGCCTCTGCACGACCAGGCCCCGCACGGGAGAGGGGTGGCCTCCCCGTGGTGGAGGGCACCAGGGGTGGACCAGAGGCTGGTGGGAGAGGGCGGTCGGGCTCTTCTCGGAGGTGCCCCCGTGGCCAGGCCCTGGAGTCCGGCCTGGCCAGCTGCCTCTCCCCCAAGTGCCTGGAAATCAGCATCGAATACGATTCGGAGGACGAGCAGGAGGCGGGCAGCGGGGGTGTCAGCATCACCAGCTCCTGCTACCATGGAGATGGGGAGGCCTGGGGCACAGCACCTGTAGGGAAGTCCAGGGGGCCTGTGAAGGTCAATTCAGGCCCCAACCCCTACCCACGCCTCACGGCCTGGGAGAAAGGGGAGCCAGAGCGGAGAGGCCGCAGTGCGACTGGCAGAGCCAAGGAGCCACCCTCCCGGGTCCGTGCCCGCTCCCCACCCTGGGCAGCCCCCTGCCTGCTGCCGCCTGGTGGCCCTGCTTGCTGCCCACCAGCCACTCCCATTCCACGCTGCCGCCTCCATCAGCAGAGGTGGGGCTGGGCCTCCGGGCTCCCTCCCCTGCCTCCTCCCACCCACATTCCACTGCTTTGCTGCTTCTGCTGATCAGAACTGGGATGCACAATATTCTGTTGTCACTAGTCGCCTGTTGCTGCCTTCAGGCAGGGTCACTCTTTGCTAACTATGGCTTTAGGACACTGACTGTGATGCCATGTCCAGAGTCACCCAGCCCCGGTGCTGACGGGAGGCCGTCCTCTCACATGCCCCTTGGCTAGCTCCAGTCCCCTGTACCACACTCGTTGTCTGCTGGGGGCGGGGCTGGGGCCTCCCTCCTGCCCTTCCTCCCTCCTAGGGGTGTGACATGTCTCCAGCAGGCTAGGCGAGGCTCCAGGAGAGGGATGCTGTGCTCCTGCTCTGCTGTGCTGCTTACGCTGACGCTGACGCTGACGGGCCGGAGCGTGGGGAGCGCGGGCGGGGTCCTCTCCCTGTGGAAGGGCCTGCCAGAGGGATGGTGTGTTACTTCTGCCACCTGTTGCCCTCTCTTTGCAGCCAGCAGAGACTGGAGAGCCCAGAGGGCAGGACAGCTCTGGGCGGAGGGGCCCCCAGAGGAGAGGGGCCCGAGCCCCCAGACCAGGCACCACCGAGCTAGGTGAGCATGTGACGGGGGCTGGGCCAGGCCTGGGGGGCCTTTCCTGACCCCTTGGCCAGAGCCCACAGAGTCACCGTCCTCTCCCCACCCATCTGCACAGCCCCTCCAAGGAGCCCCCCGGAAGCACTGGCTTACCAGGACCTACCTGTCAGGGTCTTCGTGGCGCTGTTTGACTATGACCCCGTGTCAATGTCGCCCAACCCTGATGCTGGAGAAGAAGAGCTTCCCTTCCGGGAGGGTCAGATCCTGAAGGTGACTTCCTCTGCGTCTGGGCCCAGAGCTCCAGCTGGCTAGCCAGGTCCCCCCTCCCCTGTCCCTTCCTCCACTGGCAGTGTCGCGGTGGCGAACGCGGCTTCCAGAGCCCGATGATGTGGGTTTGGACCCTGACTCTGCTGCTTCTAGCTGTGTAGCCTCGAGCAGATTACCTAAGCCCCTGGGGCCTTAGTTTTCTCACTGGTGAAATGGGGATACTCTTAGTGTACCCTACAGGGTTGCTTGTGGATTTAATGATTCGATGGACATAAAGAGCTTGAACTGCCAGGCACGTGGTCAGCACAATACAACTGTTTGTGGCTGGCAATACTGTTTTTATTATTCCTCTAAGTATTGATCGAAGGCTCCTTGCTAGTGCTCTGAGGCTGGGGAGACCCAGTCTTGGGTGGATGGGGGATGGCCGTGTAGACAGTGGATGAGGGTGATACAGAAAGGGCTGTTTCCTCTCATCCCTCTGGCCCCATTCTTTGCTGTTTTCCCATTTTTCTGTTCCACAGCCTACAAAAGGGAGAAAGAACATTCTTCTGTGGTTCCAAGTGGGGTATTGCCAAGATTCAGGGCCTGGGGCACAGGGAGCGAGCCGAACTGGCTTCCTGAGACAACTAGTCTTTGTTTCCAGGTGTTTGGGGACAAGGATGCCGATGGCTTCTACCGGGGCGAAGGTGGGGGCCGGACAGGCTACATCCCCTGCAATATGGTGGCTGAGGTGGCTGTGGACAGTCCCGCGGGGAGACAGCAGCTGTTCCAGCGGGGTTACTTGTCTCCAGATGTTCTCGTTGAGGGCTCAGGTATGGCTTGCTGCTGTCCCTCCCCCAACTCCAACTACCCCAGCTCCAACTCCACCCCACCCTGAGCGACTGGTGTGTCTGGGGTGCTCCAGTGACCCAGAGTGTAGTGGAGCCGCCGGGGCCTCGCGAGCCACACCTGTGGGCTGGCCACATGGGCCTGTTGCAAGAGTAGAAGGATGCTAGCTGTGAATTTGGGGTCCTGGAGGTCCGGTGGGGCTCTTGTCAAGGATGGGAGGTGAATGCCCTTAAGAAACGAGCTCAGGAACCCTGGCCCAGCCCTGGGAGGAGACTCCAGAGTCACTGCATTAGCCCCCTCACCTCCTTTGCCTCAGTTTCTCTCTTATATATACTTGCCTTCCTGCATAGGGAACGGTCCCTTTGTGTACTCCACAGCCCGCACAACTGGGCCTCCTCCCAAGCCCCGCCGCGCCAAGAAAGGTGGGTAAGACGCCATTCTCCCTCGGGTGCCTGTGAGGATGTGTGGGTAGGGGTGCTGCTTGGCTCTCGGGGGAACACCTGTGGGTTTTGAGCAGGTAAGGGGGATCAGGGCGGACCTTTGCCCACATCCACTCCCCCTGGGGGGGACTTTGCTCCGGTGGGGTTGGGGGATGGTTTGCAGAGACCTCTGTCCCCAAGGCACCTGACTGTGGATTCTGTGCAGTCTGGACCTGCTGTCTACCCTTTCTGGGCCTTAGTTTACTACCAAACCAAAGGGCGGGGTGGCTGTGCTCTCTGAGCTTCCCACGTGTCAGAGTGAGCATCCTGCCAGCCCGGGGGAAGAGGGCAGGGGGGGACAGGCTCATGGGCACCCTCTTTTCACAGCCGAGTCGGAAGGCCCCGCTCAGCCCTGTGCAGGTGAGGGCCATCCCTGGGCAGGGGAGATGGGGTGGGCGGCCCCTCTGGCCTCTTGGGGACTACAGCTGGTGGGGAGGTGGTGTTGGGGGTTAGCAGGGGTCCAGTGGATAGTATAAGGTGGGGGGGGGTCTTGAGAGAGTCCTGAGTCTTCTCCCCCTCCCCTGCAGGGCCCCCCAAGCCGCACCCCTATGCTGACCTGAAAGCTCCCCGCTCCATGGTGGCTGCGTTTGACTACAACCCCCAGGAGAGCTCGCCCAACATGGACGTGGAGGTGAGGCCCTCAGGTAAAGCTCACGAAGGTGGCGGTGGTGGCAGGGCCTCCTGGGGCCTGACGAGGCTTCTTGCTCTCACAGGCAGAGCTGCCCTTCCGGGCAGGGGACGTCATCACTGTGTTTGGGGCCATGGACGACGACGGTTTCTACTACGTGAGAACGTGTGGGGGGAGGATGCTCCGTACCCCAGCTGGCCAGCCCTGCAGGGGCGGCTCTCCCAGAGCTGGGCAGGGGGATGGGCAAGATCTTGAGGGAAGTCTGGGGGAAATGGGACAGGTCACCTCCCTTGACAGTGATGTTGGCCCCAGGCTGCTCCCCAGGGGCCTCTTTCCTGGGCTCAGCCTCACCAGCCTCTCCTCCACAGGGGGAATTGAATGGACAGAGGGGCCTGGTTCCATCCAACTTCCTGGAGGGCCCTGGGCCTGAGGCAGGCAGCCTGGACAGGGAGCCCAGGACACCCCAGGCTGACAGCCAGGTCAGTGGGGAGCTGGGCCCTCAGCTCAGCAGTGTGGTCTGCACCCTGCTGCTGTGACGGGGGCCCAGGCCAGTGTCGTGAGTCGGATGTGGCTGGGGCGGTAATACAGGCCAGCGCTGTGCCCAGGGCGGAGCTGCTGAGTTACCACGGAGGGAGCCCAGCCAGGCAGCTCCCCCACTGTGCCTGCCCCTCTCTGCCGAGGGGTGAGAGCCGTGACCCTGACCCCAGGCCATCTGCCCCAGCTGCCAACACCCCAGGGCTGATGCAGGTGAAGGGGCCCTGTGGAAAAGGACCCCTCTGCCCCTACACCTCTCGCCAGCCAGCCCCTACATCAGGGGCTCTGATGGTGTCCCTGCCTCCCAGGTGCCTTTTGCAGCCAGTTGCTGAATGAGGCCCAGCTTCCCGGGTCCTCCTCCTTGGGGTGGGTGGAGTGCTAAATTAAGCTCCATCCTCAGGGGGCAGGGAGAGGATGAGGAGGCTCAACCAGAAAACCCAGGGCTTCCACGTGCAATAGGTCTAAGCGCAAAGGCCGTGCACAGAGGGACCTTCCCCTGTACCCGGGCCACCCGGTGACTGGGCGGACAGCGTGTGGGTCTGTCGGTGGTAACCTGTCTCCTCTCTTTGCTCCCTGTTCTCAGAGAACGAGGAGGAGAAGAGTCCAATGCTAGATGGAGATAGATATATGTAGAGAGAGCAACATGTAAGTGGGGGGACTGGCCCCCTCTGTCCCATGTGACCCCCCCACTCCCATGTGACCCTATCAGACGGCACTCCTTTATCTCACGTGCTGGAGCTGACCTAGCTTTTCCACCTTCCAGGGAATGGGGAGGGAGATCCTGCCACCAGCCAGATTTGCATAGAGGATCGTCCCTCCCCCTCCCTGCTCCCCTTGCCTTGCCTTTACCCTGGGCAGTGCCAGCTGTCATAGGATTACATGTCATCTTTGTATGTGATGTCCCATATTAGCTGGCACCCCCTATCCTATAACACGTGCGGCTTAGAGAACGTTGTGTGACATCCATTTTATGACTCATCAGTGGTATTATGATACTACATGACTGTGGTATTATAACATTGTGATTGTTATTGGTGACAGGATGACATTGTAATGCTGCCAGTATTAATAGGCTCCCCACCCTTGTCCTCTGCATCATGACCTGTTAGGATGATCAGGTGCATGATTTTACTTCCAACTCCCAATTTCTCTGCTGGGGGTAAAAGTGGGACCTTGATTAGTTAAAATCCATAGATAACTCAAAACCTCTCTTTTCTGGGCTCAGAAACCCCTCCTTTTGTTTCCCCAACACCTCTCTTCCTGGGATGTTGTGGAAGGAGCCCTGGCCATCAGCTCTGGCTGGTTGACAGTAGTAGCTTTGATCTCTGGGTCCAGCAGAAGTCTTTGCCTGCCACAACACTGGGGCCTTGGAGGGGAGGGCTGGGGCCGTAGCTGTTTCCTGGCTTTGGTCTTGGCCGGGAGCCTGCCGGCTCTGGACAGCAAGTGGGGTTTGAGGAAGGGAGGGGGAGGGGAAGACGGCCATGCCAGGTGCAGCAGGTGAGGGCGGGGGTGTGGGAATATAGGTGGGGGAGGCTTTCTGGTGGCTCCTCTGATCACCCAACTCCCTGTCCTTACTACTAAGGAGCACTGCCTGGGGGGCCTGAGGCAGAGGGAGTGGAGGGTTGCCGGTGGAGGAGATTCAGCAAGGGAGGACATGCTACAGGGAGGGAGGGGTGGCTTGGTGGGGGGCGCTGAGTGATGGGCAGCTGTGAGTCCCCGGCAGGCCTGCATGCAGTCCTCTCAGAGGCCCTCAGAGGAGAGTCCAGATCTCTGTCCCGCAGAGTGGACACCGGCTCCACTCCCTGGAGGCCCGGGGCCCTGCCCCTGCTGGCCTGGTGAGCATGCTCCTTCCGACTATGAGTGCTGTAGGAACTGCCTTCTCTGGAGGGGACAGTTGCTTCTAAGCAGCCCTTGTCCTTGCTCTCCCTTTGTTGGGAGGGGGACGACATGTGAGAAGCTGAGGGCGCCCGCCCTGACGGGGAGGTCTGGAGAACTCTTGAGCTCTGTCAGCCCAGCACCCTGCAGGGAGAAGGGAAGGGGCTTGTCCTGATTCTCAGGTGAGCAAAGCAGGACAGAGACTCTGTGTCCCGTGGGACTCCCAGTGCAGTGCTCCCTGGCCACTGTGCCCCTGCTGGGCTCTCTGTGCTGTGTGTCAGGGCGGCCGTGGGTGGTGCTCTCTGGCGCTCGGCTGTGGTCCTGGCTGTTGTCCTGCGACCCGTGAGGCTGCAGGCCCCGAGGTCGCAGGGAGGAGTCAGGGCTGCGGTGGGGAGTCAGGCGCTGACCTCGTCCCTTCTCTCTCTCCTTCCAGGACTGGGTCAGCACAACACCAGGGCCCCTGGCGCCCCCAGGCTGGCCCTGTGCCCCCAGCCCTGGCAGCCTCCCCAGGATGGGACTGGGGCAGCCACAGCGCACAAGCGGGAAGGTGCAGGGTCTCCTTTCCAAGGGGAAGCAGCTCCTCAGGAAGCTGGGCTCTGGGAAGAAGGAGTGACGCTGTGGCCCATCCCATGGGCAGAAGCGGCCCCCCGAGGCCAGCAGAGGCCCTTGGATGACTGTCCCTGCTGTTCTGCTGAGTTAACACTGTGGCGCCTGGATGGGAATCGAAGAGTCTTGGTGACGACGGTCAGAGCTAGATGGGTCCTTCGTGATGAACCCTCTGGGTGGGCGCCTGCCTCTTCCAGGAGGGAAAACCGAGCCCCGCAGTGAGTGAGGAACTTGGCCAAGGTCTGGACCCAGGCTCCTGCCTCCTTGTCCACCACCCCGTCTCCTCCGGGCTCCCACAGCATCTTGCTAGTTCCTTCTTCAGCCCTCTCACTCCCAGGACTGGGCCCTGGGGGGAGAAAGGGGCCTGTCCCCTCTGATGGCTCTGCCTGTCCCTATCACGTCTTCCTCCCCTGAAGGAAAGTTTGCACTGGATTGCCCTCGAGCCCCCGCTGCGCACGGCGGGCGGGAGCGTGTATATATGTACATACTCAGTGCCTCAGCCCAGCTGCTCCATCTCGCTTCCACCGCACAGGCCCGGGAAGGAGAAAGGCCATGCCAAAGCGGGCCTCACCCCCCTACATCGTGCTCCAGCCCTCCCTGCCAGGCCTCCTGGCCCCCTCCCCCCACCCGTGTGGTCCCTCCCCCAGAGCCCCAGGGGGCCAGCGGGCAGAAAGCAGGAGTTGGGTTTGCCTTATTTTGCTCATTGGATTCAACTTCTCTTTTGCATCATTCTCCTCCGGCCCCGGTCAGAATCCAGGGCCGGGGGAAAAGGACAGATTTATGCAGCTATTTTCATACATTCCCTGTTCAGAGTGGGGTGGGGGTTCTCCGCCCTGCCTGTGACCACCTCATGCCCCACCCTCAGGCTGGGTGAGTGTCTCTTTGCATGTTTCCTTTGCTGTGGTGGGAGATTGTTTGAGCCCCCACCCCCACCTTGGTCTCCAGGGGTGTGGAATGGTGGGGGCATTTGTTTAAAAAGACATTTTATTATAATAAAGTCTATTTTCATAAAATCTATGCTGGCCTCTACCTGGGCAAAGGACTCCTTGGAAGGGTGGGTCACGCTGGGATTTGGACTCTTGACTTTGGAACCCAGAAGTCACATCCAAAGGGCAACTGGGGCAAAACCTAGTCAACATCAACAGCTTTCGAGTTCCTTTTCCTAAGAAGAAAGCCTGGCAGCTTCCTGAGCCCTGGGGCACAGGTTCAGGTACTGGGGTTGGGGCAGAGTTGGGCAGGGAGAAAGAGACCTGGCAAGGGGGAGGGGGAAACACGAAGAAAAGGCTCAGTTTCGAGGTGGTGGACCAAGCACACGCTGCACTCTTTCTTCCCCCTTACAAATGCACAAAAATGGTAGATGCGAGAGGAATGGGACAAACAAGCAAACAAACACCACACACAGTTCCAGCTGAAGGCAAGACAGGAGACTCTCAGTAGGCTAGAAATAGCAGGATCCTGGAAAAGGCAGAAAACAGGTGGGAGTCCATACTCAGAAACCTCAGAGCAGGGCGCACGTGGGAGAGTTTTGCACACGGCTCTGGGCCTACAAGGTGGTGCACAAGGGCAGAAGAGACCCCGGGGGCTACCGGCAGTGTGATCAGTTGTTCTTAGTGGGCCAGGTTGACTGACAGTTGCATATTCCTCTTTTCCCAGGGCCAAGGGGCAAAGGTGAGGATGTCTGCCCTTAGATGAGAACGGTGGGGGTAGCAAAGTCCAGATCAGAGACCAGGCGGTACTTTAGGTGTCTGGCGACACCTGGCAGAAACAGGAAGCATCACTGCCCAGGTGAAGAGCCAACACTCTGCAGCACATTGTGCGCTCTCTCCCTTTCTTGCTGAAGCAGCCCTGGCAGCTGTTCCCACCCAGCTGCCCAGCAGGGAATCTTGACCACAGCAGCCAGGACACAGTGAAGACTCAACAAACCTTTGAGGAAAGGCAACGCCATCAAGGGAGACAACAAATGGGAATGGGAAAATATATACCTGAGTCAGTACAACATTAGGGATGAACTTTAAAAAGAGTAGTTATTGTTGGGAAGATAAAATAAGGAATTGTATATGTGAAATAAGAACAAATAGTTGTGAAAAAGATCCTAATAGAGATTCTGAAAAAAATATATATCTATATGTAAGTATATATAAAATAAGTAAGCTTGGGGCCAGGCACGGTGGCTCACACCTGTAATCCTAGCACTCTGAGAGGCCAAGGCAGGAGGATCAATTGAGCTCAGGAGTTCAAGGCCAGCCTTAGCAAGAGCGAGATCCCATCTATACTAAAAAATATAAAAAATTAGCCAAGTGTTGTTGGTATGTCCCTGTAGTCCCAGCTTCTCGGGATGCTGAGGCAGGAGGATCACTGGAGCCCAGGAGTCTGAGGTTGCAGTGAGCTAAGCTGACACCACTGCACTCTACCCAGGGTGACAGAGGGAGACTCTGTCTCAAAAAACCAAAAAAATTAGTAAGCTTGAAATTTGAGGTAAGGAATTCTCTCAGAGTGCTATACAAAAGGATAATGAAATGAACAAACCAAAAGAAAAATTATGCACGGAGGATAGAGTCAAAAATTTCAACATCTGTTTATAAGATGTCTGAGCAACACCGGCCTTCGGTACATGTTAAACAGGCATGGCAGAAGCAGATAGCCTTGCTTTGTTCCTAATATTAGGGGACAGCATAGAAGAAATAATGGCTATAAATTTTCTGGAATTGAAGAAAGAGACAGACTGTTAGATTCAAAGGACTCACTGCATGTTTAGCTGATAAATAAATTAGAAGTATAGAAAAAAAAGGAGAAGCAGCTCAATTCATTTTATGAGACTAGTATAATCCTGTCACCAAAACTAGACACAAACAGGACAAGAAAATAATATGACAGATCTATCTTGTTTATGAACACAGAAGTAAATATCTTAAATGAAGCATTAGCAAATTAAAAATATATTATGAGGAGTAGCATTTATCTTAATAAGGCAAAAATGTTTCACCATTTTTAAAGCTGTTAGGCCGGCCCGGTGGCTCACGCCTATAATCCTAGTACTCTGAGAGGCTGAGGCGGGAGGATTGCTCAAGGTCAGGAGTCCAAAACTAGCCTGAGCAAAAGCGACACCCCATCTCTACTAAAAATAGAAAGAAATTAATTTGCCAACTAAAAAATATATATAGAAAAAATTAGCAGGGCATGATGGCGCATGCCTGTAGTCCTAGCTACTCGGGAGGCTGAGGCAGGAGGATCGCTTAAGCCCAGGAGTTTGAGGTTGCTGTGAGCTAGGCTGACACCAGGGCTCTCTAGCCCAGGCAACAGAGTGAGACTCTGTCTCAAAAAAAAAAAAAAGCTGTTAATTCTATTAATAAAATTCACAACTTTAAAAGATCAAAGGAGAAAAACCACTGATCACTTCAAAAGATGTTGAAAAAGCATAACAAGCTAAAGTTTTCAAATACATAGCAGACAAGAAATATAAGGAAAATACCTTAATTTGATAAAGGGCACCCCCCCACACACAAGTCACGTGGAGTCATGTGGAGTGGGTGTATAACTTAACAGAGAGGCAGGAATGGACAGAAGCCCAGGCTTCATCGTTAGCTAGTTCCCTAAGGCTTAGGAAAGGTGCCTGGGGTGAATGGAATCTCATCTGCATGTGCCTCACTTGCATTGCAGTTCAGGGGCCCTAGAAAGCAGCCTGCCTTGGGTTTTATGCCTCAGGGACATCGTGACACACTGGGCCAAAGTGTTGAAGGACATGCCATTTCTGTGGGAGGGCTGGAACAGAGGTGGGCTGTTCTGGTCAGTTCCTCCCTATCTCAGGATGTTGTATTCCCAGAAAGTTCTACAGTTCTTCTTCTTCTTCTTCTTCTTTTTTTTTTTAAGACAGTCTTTCTCTGTAGCCTGGGCTCACTGCCACCTCAAACTCCTGGGCTCAAGCGATCCTCCTGCCTCAGCCTCCCAAGTAGCTGGGACTATAGGTGAGCGGAGCACCACCATGCCCAGCTAATTTTTTCTATTTTTTAGTAGAGATGGGGTCTCACTCTTGCTCAGGCTGGTCTCGATCTCCTGACCTCAAGCTAGCCTCCTGCCTTAGCCTCCCAGAGTGCTAGGATTACAGGTGTGAGCCACCGTGCCCAGCTATAGAAAACATACTTTGTATGATTTTAATTCTCCTATATTTGAGGAGGTTTGCTTTATGGCCCAGATAGCCTATTTTGATACACCTTCCATGTGCACTTGAAAATAATGTTTATTCTGCTATTATTAACATTAGGTACAATTTTGTATAAACATAAATTATTTCCATTTGGTTGATGATGTTGTTCAGTTCTTCTATATCTTTGGTGATTTTCTCTCCCCTAGTCCTTATTTTTTTCCTGTCCACACAACTTTTATTCGTTAGCCACAATGTAAGAAATGTCTGATGAGGCAAAAAGTCATCCACAATAAATATTGAATACATTGTTCTAAAATGACACAAACATTAACTCTTGGTTGAATAGTGATGCTATGTTTCTTTTCATGGCAGTTTCTGTCTTCACTATTTAAATAGATAAATAAGGTCAATTTCACTTTTCCTTTCCTCTGCTGTAACTAGGATAATTGCTTATTGCATTCATTCTACTTCCCAGGTGTTCACAAGAGGTTTCTATCTACCTACAAAGTACAATGGGTTAGATTATTTTATATCTTTCATCTATGCCTTACTCTTACATCTGTGACTTTCATCTCTAAGCCAGAGAAGCTGGGGTGCCGGCCTCTGACCTCCACAACACTGAGAAAAGGCAGCATTTCATAAATAAAGGGACACTGAGATAGTAAATAGTCAACCAGAATTCTTCTGTCAAGAAATGTTGGCAAATTTTTACCATGTTTAACTTCATTTTTCTAATCTGTGCACTGAAATTATTTTGCTAAACCATCTCCAAGGGCCTAGACACTCCTAAAATCTTTGATTCTAATTTTAATTTGTTCAACTCTATTGTTTATCAATAGCATAGACAACAGGATATTAGGTTTTTTTTTTGTTTTTTTTTTTTGAGACAGAGTCTTACTCTGTTGCCTGGCTAGAGTGCCGTGGGCGTCAGCTACTCATCAGAATCGACTCCTGGCTCAAGCGTCTTCCTGCCTCAGCCTCCTGAGTAGCTGGATATAGGCATGTGCCACCATGCCCGGCTATTATTTATTATACTTTTAGTTGTCCAGCTAATTTCTTTTATTATTATTATTTTTTTAGTAGAGACGGGTCCACCTTGCTCAGGCTGGTCTTGAACTCCTGAGCTTAATGGTCCACCGCCGTCAGCCTCCCAGGTGCTAGATTACAGGTGTGAGCCACCACGCCAGCTGATATTAGGGTTTTGAATTTAGTTTGTATTACAATACTATATATAATGATGAAGTGCTCATCTGTTGCCCAGGGGTAGAGTGGTGCCGTGCGTCAGCTAGCTCACAGCAACCTCAAACTCCTGGCTCAAGAATTCTCTGCCTCAGCTCCTGGTACCTGAGGTTACAGGATGCACACCATGCCTGGCTAATTGTTTCTATATATATTAGTTGACCAATTAATTTCTTTCTATTTTTATAGTAGATACGGGGTCTCGCTCTTGCTCAGGCTGGTTTCGGACTCCTGACTTTGAGCGATCCGCCGGCCTCGACCTCCCAGAGTGCTAGGATTACAGGCGTGAGCCACCACACCCGGCCTACAACAATATTTTCATTGCCATAAGTAAGTAAGCTTTTCTTTCTGAGAAAAATCAAATAAAAGTTCCATATCCTTGTGAGTTATTATTTATGAAGGATCATAGCAGTTAAAAGAAAGAGATGAATAAGTTTAGATATTTAGATTTTAGAGTACACTTGCCTTTTGATCTGTTGACACTACAAATAAGAAGGAAGAGAGGAAATTAAGAACCTCTTTTCACCAGGCTGAATTATTTTTGTTTGGGATGTGATACTATAATGTAACAGATCTTTCATTATTTGACATTTAAAAATTTTTGAAGATTGGATGAAAGTCCTCCTCTCTTTTATTT